CAGGCCAGAAGATTTAGACTGCGATAGCGTCCAAGCAACTTTGGCGTGAAAAAGGGGACGCTGATTGTGTACAGTTTGATATGTGTAGGATCTTGACCAGAAGATCCAAGGCAGACGAAATGTTTCCTTTCGTGTACTTGGCTCCTGCCTACAATAGCTCAACTGGTTCCAGGGTGCTACGCCGAAGCTGTGCCTTGTTTGAGCAAGACGAAGGGACGGACATGAAGTATGGGGACGAAGTCAGCATCATCATTCGAGAAGGGCATTTGCACAAATCCGCCGCGGAACAGCAGCTGCAGCAGTTTTCCTCCGAGCTGCCGAAGAAAGAGGCTGGAATGGTGTGGATGTTGAAAAAGTCCATGTGGATCAACCAGTTGAGCTGTGAAAAAAAACATACCATTGTTGAGTACCTTTTGGTAATTTAGCAGTTTGCGAACTGGAAAATCACTATGGTTTATAGGTAAATCATCGAACTACATTGGCTATGTTCCATGTGAAATATGTACCTGGAGGGTTTAATACTTTCTCATATCCCAATATCTTCAAAAAAACGATGTCCAACTATAGCTAGCCATCTCCAAGCCTGCCATTTGTGGTTGGCATTCCTTTTGCACCTTGGTTCAGGTGGTAGAAGCCATGTTGGCCTCTCGTGAGAAGGGCGCCTTACCTTGGCCTGGTCATGGACCTCCCGCGGAAACGCGAAAACTCTATGGAGCTGAGGTGATTGCTGTGGCGCAGGGAGAGTCAGGTGCGGAGATCGTTTTTGTTAATTTTCGGTGTGGGGTCAAGTTACCCAAAATAGTTGGTAGTCACATGATATATACATGTTCATCCCCCGCAATTGATTGAAAATAAATGAAAATAATGAGTGTTAAATGGTTTTGATCCGTCCCACAATTTGTTGATTTTGTATGATTTTGTTGTATTTATACTGTTTGGGGATGTGAGAAGTTTAAAAATATGTACAAAAAATTGCACGATGATTTATGATTGGTGTGTTGTATGCATTTGTACACGCTATGTGCAAAGATATGGTGAGGTTTCGATGGTTTTTTCCCGGCGATGTGGAGCATCCACCCTTGATGGCAGGTGAATGGGCACATGCCCGATGGACCTCAGGCTGCGCTTACGAAGTCTCTGCCGTGGCTTCCGTGAGTGGGGCCTTAGTCCTAGCAGAGATGCAGGTCACTCGGATTGCACTTGTCGATGGGATATGATGGGATGTCGTGTCAAAGTTCACAACTTTGCCTGGTGCCCTGTTCTGATGATTATTCCTGATAAAGGTCGATACACGTGTTTTCCATTGCTCTGCGTGTTGTTTTTGAATGCCGAGTTGTTTTGTTTTAAGACAAACAGGGAAGGATATCAAGGATGCGGAGTAGGTTGGTGTTACTATGTTACAGTTGCATACAGTTGCACTGTCCCTGTCCCCAACAGTGAGGCTGAATGCAGGGGTGGAGTCCTAACTCCAGCGTATGCCTTCCATGGAACCACTTGGATTGATCGAATACAGGCAGCATCTTGCCGCAAATTCTGTGCAGCTCCTCAGCTCCTGGCTGTCAGATGCCGTTGCCAGAACCAAGGTACCGTTTGCCAACAGCAGTCAGCCCTTCGGTTGCAATTGAAAAATGTCCAGATGCTGAGTTGGTGTCTCAATTTTGACCAAACTTTCAGGAAAATCTCCGTGGAGCTTAGAGAAGGGAAGCCTTCAGAGGAGGCGGCCCCACATCAGATGTCCATATCATTTCCATGTTGTCCGCTCTGTTGATGTTGGCAAGGCCTTGAAAAGTCAAGTTTCCGAGAGGAACCGCAGGATGGTGATGGGCACCTTGGCTGAGAAGCAAGCCCCTCTCCAGTGTCTCCTTCATTTTCTGGGTGCCTACAAGGTCCAAGTGTGTGGGTTCGATTCCACACTAAACTCAGTAAGCCTAAAGATCTAAAGATAGTTTCCCTACAAGAATGTTCCTGTGGACATTTTTGGGACATTCAACTGCGTATCTACCACGTGTTCTCCACCATTTGGTTCATTGCAGATGGCTCATATCGAGGTCAAGAGAAGCTCCTGCGTGGGGCAAAAGCGTGGGCAAAGCCAGTGCTCTGTGACAGTGCGATTTGAGGTCCCAAAACCTCCAAAAGAAACACTAGACTTAGGATGTACCCCAGGGCCACTGGTACCCTTCTCAAAAATCACCAATTCTGCATGATTTTGCACCCATTTTTGGGACATCCCTAATTGATCAAGTGCCGCTGTTCTTGATCTATTTTGGCACGTCGCCTGTGACGGGAGTTGGCTGTGACGGGAGTTGGCCACGCGTTCGCAAAAGAGTCAGTCCTGCGGCTTGGGAACACCCAGGAAACTTGGGAGGAAAACTCTATGGCTGCCGGTGGATACTAGTCATAAATATATCGTCATAAATCATGAATAATACACTTGATATTGTTCACATAGTTAATATATTATGTAATATAGTTAGCTAATTCATACAGTTAATATATGTTAATATGATGAATATGATTGATGTGTGGTTGATGGATGATCGGTACACTGGATTTGCTCCGCTGAGGCCACCAGTTGAGGTCAGAACTGTTCCCAGGAGCCAAGTGTCGGCCAAGGCTGGTGGATGGGATTTTTTGGAAGCGCAAAAAGCCATGGAAAGCCATGGAAAGCCTCTAGATTTCAGGGTAAAGACATGTAAAATTCATGAAAATTCCACGGCTTCCTGTAGATTTTCCATGAAAATCAATCCAGTGATTTAAAGCTTCATCAAAGCTTCATTCAATGGATTGGTTTGAGGGAAACTTCATAGAAAACTGGCTGGTTTTTCCCTCCAAATCGCTATCCTGCAAAGTTTCAAGCTGGTTCCATCCCTGAAAGCAATGAACTCTGAGTGATTGATACACTGTTGGGAGCCAGGTGAAACCGGGCGTCGGACGTGAAGATCCAGCGCCAGCGAAGCAGTGCTCTCAGCGCTGGATAGTGGTCAATGTTTTTCCATGCTTCCTTTGCAGCTCAGGATTTCATTGAGTCAATCCTTCACCCTGTCTGCCAGCATCCAAGATCTTATATAAACTTATTTACTTAAGATATCTTTAGCTATCTTAGATATCTTTAAACAGTAGGTTGACCAACGGACAGACCCTGTGACCCTGTGTGCAGGCTTCTGCTGGCAGCCCACTACAGTCCAGATCAGGATTCTCCTGAGTTTAATCCCTTGAAGCCAGTCAACCTGCTGCGTGGAAGGGAACGTTCCGATAATGTAAATATAAGACATTGTAAGACATAGTGAAACACAATGCAGCGACTTGTCAAGCCGAATAAGGTATCCCGCAAATGTATGCAAATGTCCAGGTCACTGCGAGAAAGTATGAGTTGCTGCATCTTTGGCGACTGCATTTTCTGGCCCATTGAACCATATACGCCACATAGCTATGGGCTGTGGCCAGCTTTGAGACATGACAGGATCCATGCAGCTACCCGTGAGATCGCAAAGAACGCCACGAGAGCAGCCGCAGGCGCAAAGTGCGGTATCACAAGGTCAATCTTTGGAGTTGAAGGCTTAAGAAGCTGCGCAGATGGAAAAGATAGAGAGGTCAGTGTAAACTGTGTAAACCATGTTTTCACCGGTTTCGAAGCAGTTTTGAACCAGCTGGGAACCCGCTTTGAACCAGCTTTGGACCAGCTTTGAGTTAGCCTTGAACCAGTTTGCCAATCGCAAAAGCAGTCCATGACAGCTGACATGTTGAAATTTGAGACCCGCAGGCCTTTGCAGTTCCTGCCGCCCCACCACCCTCACCTTCAGTACCCGCACGACAGCGGCCGCAGATTTCAAGCTTTGAGACGGTGGCTCCGGTCCCATCCGCACCCTCCCCTCGCGGTGGCGCTTGTGTGGTTTCTCCACAGGGGCTGCAGCCTTCCATGTCTTGGGACGTCTCCAGCATAGGATGTGGCTACGGCGTAGCGTCCCCTCTGGGCTGCACCACGTCACCCCTGCTGCGTGTACGAAGTGTGGAGCCTCCGCGGAGACAGGTCATGGTGACCCCCCAGCACCGGACGGTGCCGCGGCTGGATTTGGGGAAGGTGAGGCGATGACCAGGGACGGCGAAAACGAGGCAGCGTCGCTGCATTGTATAGTCATCAGCTGTTCATCAAACGCATAGCGTTTCACAGCTGTTGAGGTGTTTCACCATAGGCTGGGCAAGCAAGCCTGGCGTAGATAGGCGAGGCATTTGAGAAGTTGAAGAAGTGCAAAATCATCTCTGATCTCGCAGTGCACATCACCATTTTCGGACAAACCGCAAAACTGCAAGCATCGAGGAATGGTTTGATATGGTTTGATTGTGGCCTGGATCATGGTCGCTTTGGTTCAAGGACAGATGACATGCTAAGCCTACCTTGCTTGGGCTGCTTGGCCAGTAACATCAGAAACACACTGTTAACCACTGTTAATGCAAAAAGATACGTGTTTGGCTCTTGACTCTTGAAAATGTTGGACGACTAAGAGGTCTCAAGAGCTGAATCAAGACCGACCAGAAGTTGACAACAAGCACAAAGATTATTGTTGCGAAGCGGCAGCTGCCCATCAATGACAGGCAAGAACACTCAACCCAAAGACCCAAGACTCTTACCCTCTCCTTCCAAATTGGATGTACAATGCCATTGTCAGTAAGACGTTCCGGAAAGCAGGCCGGGCCTTTGGATTGCTGAAGGAATTGTGATCGTGATTGATGATGCCAGATCAATTTGAAAATATGGTCCGATCTTTGGGTAGTTCCCCAAGATGGACGGTTTACTAACTACATCTAAGTACATCTGTTTACTAGAACTGCCCAAGTCTGGTTCACCCATTTCCATGATTTGGACCGTGCCAAAAAACGAGCGCCAGAGGTCTTCGCCTCGCAAGATACCTTAGAAGCCTATCAGCTGGTAGATGATGATCTTGGCCGATTAGTCCAGTGGACGGTGGGCAGCCCGCAGGACCGGGGGAGGGGTATGGATCATATTTGGGGGTTCCATAAAATAAATGGGGATACCCCCAAATAATCCATTTTAATAAGATCCATAAATGGGATACCCCTGTGGCTTAGGAACCCCCCATATGGTAATTATCATGTAACATAAGGGTGTCCCTAGGCTTGGTGATGCAGGAGATGTGGGAGGTCAGATTCACCTTTACACATGTTTGCGGTCCAAATGGCGGAACTGCCGTGTGCCCAGATTGATCAGATGCGCTGAGGCATCGCTGCAGCAGTGCTGTTGATCCAAGTTTTCCTGTTCACCGTTGAGGTTCTGGGTCTCGGATTTGGCACTTCAGATGTCCCTGCCTCAAGTGCTTTGCTGACAGCAGAAGCTGGCTGCCGCTGGCTCCTCAAATTGCCACTGATGAAAGGTGCGAATGGACGAAGTGGACATTTTGGAGTGCGAAAACTTGGCTGTTTGCGACGCCTACGACGGCGAGATCAATGTGTTCGGCCAGCAGTTCCAAAAGGATTCAGCCCTTGGGTACTGTCATGCACGGTGAGTTCCAGCAGGTTTGCGTTTGAGCAGTTGATGATTGGACGTGGGCATGGATCAAACGGAAGCCCTAGGCGACCGCAGATTTGGGTCATGTAAGTCATGTAGCATTGAGCTATCCCTGGCTATCCCTTTAGGCACCCAATTTTGACCTATCCAAACCTGCAGGAGTCCTTGGATCTTTGTGAGTCGCCACCTTAGGGCCGTGGGGGTTTTACAGTGGATTTCTGATCAGCAGCACTTTGTGAGGCCCAGTACTGGTGCTTGTGAGGAAGAATCCATCACAGCCAATGGCCTAGATGTTGGATGACATGGTGGAAAGAATCATTGAACTCAGTGCCCAAGTTTGAGACATTTTGAGACATACACGTACCATCAGGTAGGTCGGGTTCTTCGGGAAAACTGGGGTGCTCCGACCCACCACAATTGGTCATTTCGAAGCAGCTACCATCAAGCAGCTAGTGAAGAAACATCTGACCAGTGGCTCTTTTTCCATCCTCTTCCCATTTTGCCAAGCCTAGGCATTGTATGATGCCACAAAAGGACTGCTCAGATTTACAGTGGAGTCGAGAAGATGTCGTTAGGCGCTCAGCTTTGTTCACCCGCAGCTTGAGCAGCATACTTCTGCGGATCAACACGATTGGTGGCAAGCACAGCACAAACCAATACCGTTAGCCCGTGTGGCTCAAAGGGCTTTGCCAATCCAACAGCTCAACCACTGACATGGAGACGCGACAGCTGTCATTCATCACACCAGTGCGTTTGAGAGCCAAAGTGGTTCATGGCTATGGACGAGGATCAAAACAGCTGGGATTTCCCACTGCAAACCTTGAAATCCGCTGGGATGCCGATGCATCCCAGCTCTCTGAGGAGGAACTCAGTGTCCGAGACTTTGCAATGTCACATCGAACAGGAATCTACTGCGCTTTCGGCAGTGTTGAAGGACCACTGGGAGGACAGCAGGTGCACAAAGTGGCAATGAGCATGGGATGGAATCCAACCTTTGATGATGTGAAGGCAAAGACCATTGAACCATGGATTCTTCACCACTTTGATGAGGACTTCTATGGTTCCCATTTACGATTGCTGGTTTTGGCATACGTTCGACCAGAAGTGAAGTTCGAGTCGACTGAGCAACTGAAGAAAGAGATCGCTGCAGATGGAGAGTTCTGTCAAGCCTCACTGAGTATCCCTGAATTTGCGGCCTTCCAGAAAGACCCTTTTCTGACACCTTGGGAAGTGCAGAAGCCTCCAGCTATCTTTGCATCCCAAATTGTCACCAGCGCTCCTTTGAAAGAGACCTTGCAGTCCCTGCCTCCGCTTCAACCTGGCTTTGCGCGTTTGTTCTTGACTCGTCATGGTGAAACGGATGCAAATGAGCAAGGTTTTCTGTGTGGCGGGGACCACGAGTCTCAACTCAACGCTCAAGGACAGAACAGGAATGTATCTTAGTAACATGTGATGTTCATGTAAATGGCAAAACCACTTAGGAATTTTGGGGTCCAAATTTCAAGAAGGTCATTTGTGCCTTCATGTGTGGGATTTTGTTGCCATGTGATGCGTCATTCGTGGCAATGTTACATAATGTTACTGTATTTTGGTGTATGTTCCAATATCTTATGTGGATATACACTGCATCAAGAACCTTGGCATGTGACTTTCTACAGTACAGATGATGACCCATCGCATTTTGCTTTTCCCAAAGTGTCTTCAGTGTGTTTCCCTGTTTTTGCCCTGTTCCCATATATTTGGCCCATGGTTGTGTCCATGTGTTTCCCATATTTTTCTCCTATTTTTCACTAATTTTTCCCAACATATTTTTCCCATATTTTCCCAACATACCTTTCCCTATGCTTTTCCCTATGTTTTTCCCTATGTTTTCCCTATGCTCAACCAGAGCTTCAGGGCCTCCCCCGCCCTGGTAGGAGAAAAACAGGCAGAGGAACTGGCTCAGGAGTTGCTCCGTTCGGTCGACGGCTTCGCTGTCGTCGGCTCCTCGGAGCAGCGCCGGGCCATGGGCTCGGCGGAGCTGGTGGCGCAGCGCTTTCCGGCGGCACGGCGCGTCAGGGTGAAGGAACTGCACGAAATGAAATATGGCGACTTGGAAACTGGGCAGAATTTCTGGAAATCTGACAGATTACTTTGTGGAATATGACAGAATATAACTGAAAATGTGTGAAACATGAAAGTGTGTGAAGATTAATATGATGATTTTTGATGTGTAAGAAAACATGTTTGGGATATTTTGTGTTAGAATGATATAGAATTATGTGTAATGTGTATCTCCAGACTGTAAATGGTCAATATGCTGTGCTTATGTATATCTATTTGTAGTATATATATATACGGTATATACATATATTATGCTTCTCCAACCCCTTGGGACTATGGACAGCAATTCTTTGGTAGGGAGAATAAGCTCATGCTGACATTTTTCAATCAGAAATGATATCGTACAGAGGACGGAGAGCGAACTCATGTTGACATCCCTGTTCTGTCTTGGGGTGCGGTGGGGACAATAACGTCGATCAATGACATACTCAAAGCAGTACGAGACTTGCAATTGATGTAACAGCGGATGACATGATGAGCAGTTGACAATGCAAACATTTTCAGACAGTTTTTTTTACTCACGAAAAACATGTGAAAGCAGCCCCAAGTCTGAGAGTACTGAGAGATACTGAGAGTTCCGACAGGTGAGACCACACTATATATGCTATATATGCATGTATAAAGAGAAGTATGTACACATAGTATGTGTTTATTTCGCATATTCCTGAACATGATTGTTTGCATGCCGACGTATCCTATGAATTACAATGCATATATCTACATACACAGGATCATGTATGTAGAACATGATACAACATCACCACCCCTTTAGGTTAATTGCAAGCAGGGGGGCGTTCCAAAAATGTAGATTGCAATTTTGCCCCCTCGGAATTTGACCGCAGGGGTCATGCTAATTGCAAGCGTGGACCCCCCCAACGTCAGAAGCCGAAGCCTAAAGTTTTTACATTTAGAGAGGGGGGGGGGGATGAAAAATAAAAGCACGTAAGAGACCGGTCACCCCGTACCCCCCCCCCGAACCCCCCCGAACCTACCCCCTTCGGACATTATGGAAGGGGGGGGGAGGGAGGTAACAATTGCAAAATGTCTGACGAATTGTCCGAAAACAGTCTCCAAGAAGTTTGCAGATGTTTGTAATCAACCTACACCAAAGGTCCATATTTCCTTGCAGAAACAGCTCAAAGTAGATGATAAAATCTAGATAAATCCATGTAACCATCCTACATCTAAGGTCCTTATTCACTTTGAAATTTGATGGGGTACATTTGAGGTCCATTTGAGGTACATTTGAGATATATTTGAGATCATTTAGGTGCAGAAATGGCTCACTTTTTTTTTGATATGACTTGGCTCTGGAAAGCAAAGCCAGATTCTTTGCCTCAATTTCAAGTAAGCATCCATTTACAAGTGGTTTTCTTATATACACTGCAAAGCAGTGAAATGATGGATCTAACATGCATTTCCTGTTTCTGCAGGGGTTGAAGCTTACAGTCAAACAGGATTACTCTCCAACCTACATTCTCCCTTTTCCAAAATCCAGTAGCATACCGATCCGATATTTTCACCTTTTTTTTGCACCTTTCTGCGACATATCCTCAGGACCTTTTCAAAGATCCCGAAATTCTTTGCTTCCCTTCCTTTCTTACATCTTTCGGGTTCCTTACCTCCTATGTGATGCTTCTGTATTGTCTTCCCGTCTCGTTTATTCTGTCAAGTTTTTGGAGGGGACTGTTGTGAACCTGTTTCTGCAAGTAAATGTGGACCTTAGGTGTAGGATGGTTACATGGGTTTATCTTGATGTTCTCATCTATTTTGAGCTGTTTCTGCAAGTAAATATGGACCTTAGGTGTAGGATTGTTACATGGTTTTATCTTGATGTTCTCATCTATTTTGAGCTGTTTCTGCAAGTAAATTTGCACCTTAGGTGTAGGATGGTTACATGGTTTTATCTTGTTTTTATCATCTACTTTGAAGTGTTTCTGCAAGTAAATGTGGACCTTAGGTGTAGGATGGTTACACGGGTTTATCTTGATGTTCTCATCTATTTTAAGCTGTTTCTGCAAGTAAATATGGACCTTAGGTGTAGGATGGTTACATGTATTTATCTTGATTTTATCTTCTATGTTTTTTTTTTGAGCTGTTTCTGCAAGTAAATATGGACCTCAGGCATATGATGATTACATGATTTTTACACCTGTGCTGAATCAATTTCTCATTGGCAGGAGGCAAATTTGAAGACCTCCAACATCTATTTTTACATTTATTGAATTTCAAGGATTTTCCAATAATTTGCAAGGAATAATATACCTTCTATAAATCTATATTACATGTGTAAATGATGAAAAAGTGTAGAATTCATTGAAAATAACAGGCAATTGAGGCCCTCTAGGGATACAGTTTATGCAATTCTGCAGCTATTTGCAGACCTCCAGACTATTGTTCTTGCATTTTTTCCATGTTCTTACATGTGTTTCCGTAAAATGCAACTTGCAATATTGGACGCTAAAACGTGGGGGTACATAATTGCAATCTACGAACCTATCAAAATGCAATCTTGCAATAAAGACGATGAAAAAAAGAATTGTAAGCATACATTTTCATAGGTCCCCCCCCAAAACAACGTCTTATTGCAAGCTTGCATTTTGAGCGTCCCCCCTCCTTAAAAGGGTGGTGATGATACAACCATGTACAAAAACCTGGTATTTGATATTTGTTTTGAGCAGTCAGCATTCCCAGAGAATGGACTGATCAGCAGCTGGGTGTGTGTTCTGTTTAAAACGTTCATGGCATATCTGGTGGGACTGAAGTGATGGTCTTTGGCTGGCGACAATTGGATCTCAGAGGCTCTCTAGGGTGGACAGCGACTCCTAGGTACAGAGGTGTTTTTTGTTGGCTGGAAGATGTGCGTTGAGCGTTGATGTGCTGAAACTGAGGAAGGTGCGCGCATTGCAGATGTTCGTTCTGATATGATTTCTCTTTCTCAATCTTGGCGCCAGGGAAGTCTCCAGGCACGGGGCAGCCCAAAATGGCCAAAGTTTTAGAGATAAAAGGCGTTGTCCAAAAAATTGGGGGAACAAAAATCAACCCCCTGGTTTTTATGGGGTTTTCTCATCATATGTTTTGTTCAAATGGCAATACAATTTTGAGGTGAACCGTGAACCCCGAATTTTAGGACACGTTGAAATTGGTATGACCTGGCAGGAGCGAGTTGGAGGAGAGCGTGGTGAGAGTCCAGAGGACCGCAGGAGCAATTTCCCTCGCAGGAGGTATGTCAGATGGCAACCTTGGATGTTCATAAACCGGGCTGTTGAATTGCTGGGGTACCAAGTTAGGCTGGGGCACTCCCCTTTTTAATCAATTACTTTGGGGATCTTAATCGTGCTTGGATGCTGATAGAAAAGAATTCCGTTAACATCGACAAATTGAATAAGGCATCATTCTGGTAAAATTATAACAACCTCTCTGCGACCTCACTGGAAAGGGGAGTTATCCCAATATAGATCAATATAATATAGCCTTATTTCAGCTTAGTGAAATAGTATACAGAAGTTACCCAGGAATCATTAGAAAGATCAGTTTTGAAAGTTTCTTGGACGTTGTTTGATGAACATCAGTGTACTATTTGCAGTTATGTACACATGCTGGGATTGTGCCTTTGGCGTTGTCGCTGGGTTGCGCTTTAAATGATCCTTGCAAGTTCCATAGTTCTTCTAAATATATTTTGTGTTATCAAACCAGGACAGGGCTTGAGTGCACTATATTATTATCTTCAGATGTCCATCTACAGCATAGGAATGCATAGGATGTAGGAAACCTTGTGTACTTGCCCCGCAATGACAGTTTGCTGATTATTTGTTTTTTTTTTCACAGGACGTGATCAAGCGTGTCCTGGCTTCCGTACGGCAAGTATTGCAAGGAGAAATCGGACAGAGCGTATTGCTGGTGTGCCATTCCTGGGTCAACAAAACCTTGATCGCATCCGTCACGCCTGGACTCGGCTTGCACAAGCTCTTGGATGTGCCCCAAAGGAATTGCGCTGTAAATGTCTTGGATTACTCATGTGGAGAGGATGGAGAAGGTGAGTTCAGGGTTCTAGCCGTTGACTTGGTGGCGGGATCCAGAGCACGTATTTGAGGCTGTACATCTTGAAAACATCCTGAAATCATCCTGGGAAAATGATTGAACCCAAAGGTGGGGTCTGCTTTCCAACACAGAATCATCGGCCACAAGAAGTTCAAAAGTTCACCAGCACGATAGGAAGTACGACGCCAAGCGAAACTGGAAACCAGGCAAATTGTCTCCAGAGCTGTCACCTGCCACAGAAAAGGAGCCTTTCAGCTTTGTATGGCTGTGATATGCAGTGGATGGAAGAAATCCTGCACCAGTTGATAGATGTTTTAGGTTACGGCGCCTGTAGAAGTGCAGCGCTTTCAGCGTTTCTGAAAGTGGACAATCGTCACTCATTTTTCATCTTCATGCGAGACGCCATAGTCAAACTCTGTTATTGTGCTTTTTACAAAACTTTCCTAACTGATCCCATAGGGAGTAGCCAGGAGCTAACACTTCGTACAACCATTGCCATATTAGGCAGCGTTTCATCAAGGCAGCTGTTGTTCCATGTGCATTTCATTTCCTTGAAGAGAGAGTACGTGGGATGTATGATTTCAAATGAGGATGTTACAACGTATCAGGAACGTCTTGCAAGTTACTTTGCAGAGATGTTACAACGTATCAGGAACGTCTTGCAAGTTGCTTGACGAAGATGTTACAACGTATCAGGAACGTCTTGCAAGTTGCTTGAAGAAGATGTTACAATGTATCAGGAACGTCGTGCAAGTTACTTGAGGAAGATGTTACAATGTATCAGGTTGACAACGCAGACCACAGGACGCTGTTACACCCCCCAAACCCCCCCCAAAAAAAAAAATGTGCAAAAGTGACAACAGTCCCGCCCCTCCATGGGCGCCGCACCATGTTTTATCCCATTATTTATTATAGGGTTTCAAAAATCTAAGGTAGTGCAGGATTTCTTCTATGCTGTGACGGGATTATTGATATGTGCATGTCGTGGCTGAGTTGTCGGAAAATTCCTGCCACATTCGAGGTGGAGGTTTCAGGACTGAAATCCAGAAGGAATCCCTGAGGCACGTATGAAGGGAATTGAAGGGAGCCCCCCCAAAACAAGTGATGGCTGAGAAAATCATGTTCCCAACATTTCCGCAAAAAGTTCCATCTTTGGGGGCGAATACCCCATTTCTATCCATGTCTCAGATCTGATGAGTTTTGGTGGCTGGAATCACGTTGGACCAGGCAAAGAGAGCTGTATCCCACGGTCGCTTTCGCGAACAGGCGGAGCAAGGCCGGACGGTGGGAATGAAATCTCGATAGGTCTGGGGTCTTGAAGATGGGGTACTGTAGACCCCGTAGATCCCCCAGTTATGGCCCTTTGGATGAAAATGATGGAATCTGTATGAGACAAGAGATAGTTCAAGGGAGTGGTTGAAGGGAAATCTAAGCCGGAAACTGGTCGGATTTAAACCCCAAATAAAGGATTTTCATGGATTTTCGAGTTCCCTGTGGATTTTTCGTTTCATCCAATTCTTGGAATAATGGTTTTACATTGGCAATCTGCACTTTGAGGTATGTATGTATATATATATATGTATATATCCCATATGTATATATATATACATACTTAACTATTGATTATTTATATATATATATATGTATAGTGTCAGCCTTGTCCATGATTCTGGAGCCAGGTGAGAATTGAACTCATAAGTTCGTTGATGGCAAAGCCGACTCCTAGAGATGAACGACTCTTGCGTGCTGACTTCTCCTCGTGCTTGTACTTGGCATCTCGGACGAAAAGTGGTGGATTTCAACAAAAAAAGCAAGGTTGGCTAGTTTAATAGGGATCATGATGACAAAGCAGTGGCATTATATGGCACCCTATTTTCACACAAACCCATGTATTAGAATGATCTTCAGCTTTAGTAGGGCTGCGTTTAAAACTCTTGCAGCTCTAAGGCAAGCGCAGGTCAGGCAGACTATCCCAGTGGGACCGTGCACTTCGCAGTGGATGGCCGAAAGTTGCAGGCCAGCAATATGATGAAATAAAGACAGCAGCAAAAGCGCCGAACTTGGACGTGTAACTTTATTTATTAGGTGCACGTTCGTTCACCATCCTTCCGGTTGAGGTGCTGCTCGCACTGGAAGATCCAAACCCGGAGGAAGAGCAGTAGAAATATACATTATATAACATGTTGTTTAAAGCATCAGAGTACTCAACGCAGAATTCAAGATCATTGTCAAACAAAACGTCAAAATAAAAGTTGGGGGCCGAGCAGTAAAATATCGGAAAGCAGCTTTCGAACACGCAATAAGTCACACCGCTGTTGACCCGGAACACATTGTAAGTACCGTCATGGCCGTTTGCTCTTTATGATGGTCCACGATTATTTTTACTGATTCTCTGCCTTAGACACTGAAAAGCAAATGTGCAAATACCAGGCAAAAGCAAAGGAATTGCATACGAAAACTGTTTGCCGGTGCTTGTTGTGTACTGCAGACCTAACTTCAAAAACATTGCTCTTTGCAGTGTTTGGCACATCTCTGAACTCAAACAGCCATAAACAACCAACCGAGTCGAAGTGCAACAATCTATCGCACGGTCGGTACCACAGGTTAGGATAGTGTGGGGATCTAAACGTGTAACCCTGGCTGGTTCCCGCTGTGGCCCCGAGGATTCTCTTCAAGAACTTTGCTTCAAGTTCCTTTAATCTTACCAAGGAAGACTACACCTCTGGGAAATTGAACAGTTTGCTATGGAAAATCACAATTTTTCATAGGTGACAGGTTCATCCATTTTCTGTAGAAGGTAAATCCCCATGTTTGGTGGTTCAATCATGTTAAATCAAGTAAGTCAGTAAGTCATGTTAAATCATAATTGTTTATTCCAAGCTTCCTCCCGGAAGGCGGATAAGTTCCTTTTGTCTGCCCGGTCTGAATACTTCGAGCGAATGCTACGCGGAGGCATGTCTGAGGCAGGGATGATCCATCTTTCCAATTGAAACAGAGCATGCAGATTTGGTTCAGTTCGTTTGCACATTTCAGCAAAGAACAAGTTTTTTGTGATTTTGGGGGTTCAGAATAAGTTCAGATCAAGTTTATTGTCATCTTTGAAACTCCTTTAACCAACATCAGTTCAAGTCGCTGCGCTGTGCCTCGACAGGGAGTGGCTCTTGAGGTGCCAATTCCAAGGCCATTGGCTCGCTCGGGCAGCTGGTTTCGAAACCATGAGATTTGGAGCACATTTGTCCCCAAATTTGTCAGACAACTATAACTAAATATAACTAACATAACTATGGAAAGATCCACCATTTTTAATGGGTAAATCAACCATATTTCTATGACCATTTTCAATAGCTATGTTAAATTACCAGAGGGTATGTCGTTCTCATCCATTCTCATCAATTCTCATCCATCCACATCCCATATATTTAGAATATGTTACGAAAGCCAGCCGGGAAGCTGGCTAGTTGCTATTTGCGAACGAAGTGAGAATAGGGGGCCTGGGGAGGGGGAGGGGGAGGGGGGGGGTAGTTGCCAAAGCGGCCGAAAATCGGGAAAATAGGTGGCAAAAATGGCCGGCCACTAGTATGGTTTTGCAGGGTAATGTACCAGGCGGCAAAACAGTGACGGTGGGTATCGATTCCCCCCTAGGTCCGGTTTTCTGGGGTTTTGTGGGCTCAGTCAATGGACAATGGACAGATTTGGAGAGAGAAGGAAATTGGGTGAAAAGTATGTGCAAGAAGAGTTTCTGGGTGAAGAGTCTCTGGGTGAAAAGTATATGGATGAAAAGTCTGTGCAAGAAGAGTTTCTGGTTGAAGAGTCTCGGGGCGAAAAGTATATGGGTGAAAAGTATGTGTAATAAGAGTTTCTGGGTGAAGAGTCTCTGGGTGAAAAGTATATGGGTGAAAAGTATGCGCAAGAAGAGTTTCTGGGTGAAGAGTCTGGGTGAAAAGTATATTGGTAAAAAGTATGTGCAAGAAGAGTTTCTGGGTGAAGAGTCTCTTGGTGAAAAGTATATGGGTGAAAAGTATGTGCAAGAAGAGTTTCTGGGTGAAGAGTCTCTGGGTGAAAAGTGAGTGCAAGAAGAGTTTCTGGGTGAAGAGCCTCTGGGTGAAAAGTATATGGATGAAAAGTCTGTGCAAGAAGAGTTTCTGGTTGAAGAGTCTCTGGGTGAAAAGTATATGGGTGAGAAGTATGTGTAATAAGAGTTTCTGGGTGAAGAGTCTCTGGGTGAAAAGTATATGAGTGAAAAGTATGTGCAGGAAGAGTTTCTGGGTGAAGAGTCTCTGAGTAAAAAGTATATGGGTGAAAAGTATGTGCAAGAAGAGTTTCTGGGTGAAGAGTCTCTGGGTGAAAAATATGTGCAAAAAGAGTTTCTGGGTGAAGAGTCTCTGGGTGAAAAGTATATGGGTGAAAAGTATGGGAAAAAAAGTTTCTGGGTGAAAAGTATGCGCAAGAAGAGTTTCTGGGTGAAGAGTCTGGGTGAAAAGTATATTGGTGAAAAGTATGTGCAAGAAGAGTTTCTAGGTGAAGAGTTTCTGGGTGAAAAGTCTGTGCAAGAAGAGTTTCTGGGTGAAGAGTCTCTGGGTGAAGAGTTTCTGGGTGAAAAGTATATGAGTGAAAAGTATATGGGTCAAAAGTATGTGCAAGAAGGGTTTCTGGGTGAAGAGTCTCGGGGTGAAAAGTATATGGATGAGAAATATGTGCAAGAAGAGTTTCTGGTTGAAGAGTCTCGGGGCGAAAAGTATATGGGTGAAAGGTATGTGTAATAAGAGATTCTGGGTGAAGAGTCTCTGGGTGAAAAGTATGTGCAAGAAGAGTTTCTGGGTGAAGAGTCTCTGGGTAAAAAGTATATGGATGAAAAGTATGTGCAAGAAGAGTTTCTGGGTGAAAAGTATATGGGTGAAAAGTATGTGCAAGAAGTGTTTCTGGGTGAAGAGTCTCTGGGTGAAGAGTATATGGGTGAAATGTCTGTGCAAGAAGAGTTTCTGGGTGAAGAGTCTCTGGATGAAAAGGGTGAAAAGTATGTGCAAGAAGAGTTTCTAGGTGAAGAGTCTGTGGGTGAAAAGTTTATGGGTGAAAAGTATGTGCAAGAAGAATTTCTGGGTGAAGAGTCTCCTGGCGAAAAGTATATTGGTGAAAAGTATGTGCAAGAAGAGTTTCTTGGTGAAGAGTCTATGGGTAAAAAGTACAGTATATGGTTGAAGAGTATGTGCAAGAAAAGTCTCTGGGTGAAAAGTATCTGGGTGAAA